AGAGATTGTTTCTGACTGTCCTAATCCTCCCAACTGTAAGATTGTAAAGCACAGATTCAAATCTAAGTCTCTCTGGATCCAAAGCCTGTGGTCTCTATTCCACTACTATATGTGTCAAATATTTCACCAAAAGCCATTCTGCATCTCTCTAACTTTTTTGGGAGGTATTCATTTCTCTTCCCCTTCTTTATTTAGAACATTTGTTTTGTAATGTTATTTTGTTTTACTTATTTAAACTTTTTAAAAAGAAACATTTATTAAGTTCAGGGGTACGTGTGCTAATTTGCTATATAGGTCAATTTGTGTCATGGGGGTTTATTGTACAGATTATTTCATCAGCTAGGTATCAAGCCTAGTACCCATGAGTTATTATTCCTGATCCTCTCCCTCCTCTTACCCTCCACTCTCCAATAGGTCCCAGTGTGTGTTGTTCCCCTCTGTGTGTCCATGTGTTCTCATCATTTAGCTTCCACTATAGGTGAGAACATGTAGTATTTAGTTTTGTTCCTGTGTTAGTTTGCTAAGGATGATGGCATCCAGCTCCATCAATGTTCTTGCAAAGACAAGATCTTGTTCTTTGTTATGGCTGTATAGTTCTCCATGGTGTATACGTGCCACATATTCTTTTACTAGTCTATCACTGATGGACATTTAGTTTGATTCCATGTCTTTGCTATTGCAAATTTTGTGCAGCCCTCTACATACAGCTTACACAGGCCTCCAAATAACCCTGAGTTGAGCACTCTTATGATCCCTGTTTATGGATGAGGAAATTGAGGCAATGACAGTTTAAGAGGCATGCCCCAGGAAACTTAGGCTATTTCAGCACCTTAATTTGAACCCAGACTGACTTCTCCATAGTTTTTAACTAGGAGGCCAAACTGCCTTCCATAAAACACTCTCAGTTTCCTTCTGACACACTTAAGCATGACACAGGCCACTGCCAGCTTGTGGCCTGCTTCCCTCTCCATTCCCTCCTCTGTGCTGGATTCCCAAGACTGGCAAAGAACATTTTCCAGTTGCTTTTAGTGGCTTCTGTCTAGATTCAGCCAGTAGGAGGCAGTAACAGGAACCTGTAAGACAGGACGATGAGAAAATTCAGGGTGCTTCTCCCGCTCCTTGCTTTGGGTGGTGTCTTAGGCAGTGGTTGTATCTTCTCTTTGCTTTCATCTCTCTCTGAATGGCCCTTCCCTCTGTGGCTCTGGCTAATGCCATTGACTAGTGGTCTAATAATGGTTAGTGACTAGTGGCCTATCTGATAGTGATTGGTGACTGACTAGTGGTCTATCTGGTGATGGCTAGTGACTAGTAGTCTATTTGATAACAGTTAGTGACTAGTGATCTATCTGCTAATGGTTAGTGACTAGTGGTCTATCTATCTGATAGAGGTTAGTGACTAGTAGTCTATCTGACAACAGTTACTACTAGTAGTCTCCAAGCTCATAGGAGTCCACTAGTGATCTGGAGAGACAGAGGGAAGAGGTGGGAGAGGCTTCTTGTTGTTGCCAATGTCTGGGTGACTTACTGTTTACTGTATTTGACTTTTCTGCTCTTCTAATAACTTTGTCACAAGATCTTTGTTTTTTAAATCTCCTCTAAAGAACACCTGGCATCCTGACAGAGGCTCTAATCACTACTCTAATTGAAGTGCCCACCTGGCTTTCCCTTCCTTAAACCTGAATTAAAGAAGGTTTAATATGGATCAGAGACCTGCAGTCTGCATCGTCAACAGTGGTGTTTCGCTGTGAGCAAAAATCGATGACAAAAACGCCCTTGGGGTTCATTTCCTTTATACACCCCAGGGTACCTTTAGGACATGGAGGCTGTGATGTGCAAAGTGATACTCTAATGACACTGAAGAATTGACACAGCTTCCAGAGGTGCTAAATGTACAACTGGGGACTGGTTAGTTAGGAGGGAGAATCTCACTCACTAGAAAGCATCATGTTTAATTAGAGTGGAAAAGGTGGCAATGCAAGAAGGTTCTACAAGCATGCTTGAGGGCAGCCTCATGGCCACGGTCCTGCACTTCCTGACTCTGCCCTCCCAACTTTGGGTCTTGCCACCTTGGTACCCACAATTAGGAGGTGGGAGGAACAAGAGCAGACACTGTATTTTCCGAAGCATTTCTGAGCTGCTGAAGCACACCTCCTGATACCCCAGGACTCCTTATCCTAAGTGGCAACAATCACTCTTCCAGAAGTGACCCCAGACAAATCACAATCCTTTCTCCTCCTCCCCAAAGCAAAGAAAAAAAGAGCCAACATGATACCAGCCCAATTAATGTGCTATCATAGAGAATTCAGCATCATAGTGAGATTCATGACACAATGAATCCACCGATTACTAAAAGTTTCCAAAAGTATAATAATTGGTTCTCACTCCCCCACACTGAGTTCTTTAAAAAAAAGTGTCTGTAATATAGAATGGGAATAAATAAAGTGTGACTGAATGCCTTTCTCTAGCTGGGGTATCATCCCTGATGTTATCAATTTTAATAGCTACTTAAATATGTCAAGATCTATTTAAGTTCAGACAAGCACAACTAACACTCAAGTCAGTTCTTTAGAACTAGAATGACTAGATTTGGGTGATACTAAGTAAATTTGTGCTTATGTTTTTTTCTGAGCAAATGAACTGAAATAATTATAAAATTGAAACATTTTATAAGGTGACACTAGTGCATTTAATTGTATGAAATTTACAGTGTAGAAAATGTAATCATTTTATTCAGTAGCCCATGGTGTAATTAAGACTATTCTTTTGAGGTATCTAGTATTTATGATTTTCCTCTTCCACCTGGATGAGATGTCTCAAATTCAAAATTATACATCAATTAGGTACATTCTCAGGATTATTTTTAAGGGGGCTGTTTTCTAATACCATGTGTATTTCTGATTTTCTTATCCACAGGGAAGCTTTCACAATCAGGAGACTGTAGAAACAGAAGCTGGTACAAGGATAGTCCTCTGCACTTTTTCCATTTTATTCAGGAAAGGGACCACACACGATGAACCACAATTTAATAATAAAGTAATGTTTCAGCACATAGTGTGTGATGTGCAGTAAAGATCCTTTTAAATTCCCATCAGAGCACACACCATGAACTGTGCTAATGGATGTAACACATTTTACAAAATCTGCATGTGTGAGGCTTTTCCATCCTGTTTTAAGTGGGGCAATGTATATAAATAATAGATATTAGCAATTAAGCATCTATTCCTATGCACTCATTTATACATTTGAAAATAAATTAACCACAAACTACATGAAAGTGGATGCAATCTTCTCTTTTCCCTTCTGTTTTCCCTGCTGTTCCTGAAAGATATTTCTGTATTTATCTCAGTACGAACAATGACCCCAGCTCTCAATTTCTGCATCCTTAAATTAATTACTATCAAAAATTCTCTAAAATGAAGTGAGTCTGCCTTAACTCTTGATTTCCTTGACATTTGCTGTTTAGGATAATGAGAGTTTCTTATCACTTTTTGTGGTTCTTAGGCTGGCTTCTTTTCTGTTCTCTTTTAACCAGGTACCAAAAGCTATTACTTCACTGGGGAGATTTTTCACGTGTGAGAAAAAGGACAAGAGAAAAAGGACTATCACCTATGCGGTCAGCTTACAACCTGAATTTCCTGGAAACTACCTCATTTAATTATCCTCATGAACCTCCTTTGCTCTTTGAAAGAAGGGTAGTCAGCTATTTTTTGTTTTTGGGTTTTTATTTTGTCTTTTGCATGAGGCTCTTGAGTGTCAGTTGCCATTTTAAGGGAGTAATGATTTGGACCCTTTCCTGAGAATACAAGAGTTCAGGTGTTGTGCTAGTTGGCTTGGCCCCTCTTATTCCTCCAGTATCCCTGATAGGTCAGATCATAGTGGTTCTGGAGGGAAAGTATGTTTCACTGTGTGGATATGTACAATGGCATTTCCCAGTTCTGGGATCGTTAACCTAATTCAATTATTCACATGATGAGCAGTACCCATACATTCCTGGTAAAATTTGATAAAATGCTGTAGCATCAAGATGGTTTTGCAGAGGCCTCTCCAGCATTACTTGTTTTCTCGACTGGCATTAGTCTCTACCAAAGCTAGAAATTTGAGCATAATCCTGAATTCAGAGTCATAACCTGATAGCTGCAGGCCAAAGTTGGCCCAGTGATATGTTGTTGGGAGTGTCTTGAGCTTTGCAAAATAAATTAAAGTAATTATAAACACTGGAAAACTTAGAAATTTTACATAACACTCCTGGCCTCTGAATTTGCTTGGAAAGCTTCAATATCTGGCAACTCTGGGCCTGCATTTTCTTCTGGCAACAATCAGCTGGAACTGCATCAAGGTAGCGACTTTTAGATAAGCCATGTGCTCTCCAGCTTGACATAGTCCTCACCAGTCCCTATTGTTTACTTCCAGCCTACTTAGTATTTCTATTATCGGCAGGCAACCACAGACAATTAAGCCTGTAGTTTCTGGCCTAAAGCATTCACGACCACATGTGCACAAGACACCATGTATATAACATTGTTAGAAATCTTCTCTTTCCTTACTTTCTAAAACCATAATCACAATCATGGCTGACACTGAGTACCTACTGTGTACCAACATTTGTACTAGGTGCTTTATACATGTTATTTTATTTGATCCCTAAAATACCCAATGATGCTAACTAACCTATCATATAACCAGAGACTGAACTTCAGAGACGGTAAATTTAAAAAACGTGTCCAGTACTATACAGTTAATAGACTTCAGAGTCAGAAGTGAAACTGATGTGATTCCGAAGGTGCTGTTATTCAAAGTTTATTTAATCTTTTTTCTTATTTTCAAAAAGTAAATATGAATTTAAATGTAGACCAGAAACCATACCTTATTACATTTTCCTTTGAGAAACTCCAAGGTTTCGTTAAATGCAAATGTAGACACTGAACACTACAAAATTCCTGAATGGTTTGTCTCCTGTAAAGGTCATTGCAAAGTTAATCTGAGTAAAATTTCATATCTTGGTGTGGAGTCCATAATTTTGAACTTTATTTGGCTGATTGTTTATTTAGCACCAAATCAATTTGAAATTGGCTTTGCAAATGAAATGTACCCTTTATGTCATATATAGGGATGGTTTGGTCTAGGTTTGCACTGATCAGAATGCCTAGGGATAACTCCCAGAGAAACCATCCCTTTCTCATAGATTGCTGGTTTAGCATCTTAATATTTTATGCTGTCTATATTTATATATTTCCAGCATTTTAATACTATTTCTCTCTGCCTTCTTCTCCTTCCCTCTGACCGGAAGTATAGACTAAATAGTTCCATATCTGAGGAGAGAAAGAAGTTTGCCATTTTTCTTCATCCACCTCATAGCCCCATAGTAAGAATGATTATGTCCCATTCCAGCTATTTAAAACACGCTGTCTCCGATTCCCAGCTTTGAGAGCAAACAATCTGCCAAGCACCTCATAACTGCAAAGTGACCTTGACATATGTCATTCACCAGAGTTTTCAAATTGAAGTCTTGCTGTTTAATATTCATAAAGACTTTTTTTTCCCCTAACAGCATATGTGATGATTTTACAGGGGATGGGGGTTGGGAGCTTTATTTAGAGATGGGTTGAATTGTGAGAAACATACCATCAGTGTCTCTGTGATGAACTGAAGTATCAGTTTGGAGGTAGGAAAAATTCGTTTGGCATTCTTCAAGGGAGGACAGTGATGTGCTGGATTCTGACAGTTTTTTCTCATTGGGGTTTTCCTTGGCTGGTCCATCTGTGATATTGAATTCAGATACTGAATTTATAACGATAGCATTAATGGGTTTCTCATCTGCAAGCTTTTCATTTGTGAGTTGTGTATCTAGACAAAAAAAGAAAAAAGACATACAGAAATCCACTATAGTTTATGTGACCCAGTGACCTAAGAATAGACATTTGCAGAAATTTTCACATTTGACTTTTCTAAGATTAAAGTCTTAAGAAAAAGAATGAAGTATTATTGATCAAAACAATTTTGAGTGAAAATATACGAAAGAAGAGTGCAATTATTACAAAATTACATACACATTGCAAACTTTACCTATCATCGTCACTTGTAATACTTATTTCTACTGTGTTTTTTGTTTGTTTGTTTTGTTTGTTTGTTTGTTTTTCAGTTCGTGGTTTTTTTTTNTGGTGATGAGTAGGGCAAATCAAGCAATTCATTCACTTGGATCAACAAAATGTCACAGTATGTTGCCAGCCTCCTGTCATAGTGTATTATTAATCTGAGGAGCAGGATAAGGATTTTATATGATGGGCAGTACTGCTGAGTTATTCACATGATGTCAATCAAGTCACCTTATTTCTTTGTTTTTACAAACATCACTTTCATCATCTGTAAAAAGAAAAATGGATATAAAAGAATGGTTTACAAGATTATTCCTGCTTCTGTTCTCATAATCTCACAGTAGCTTTTTCTAACTTGGTGTTTAAGTTCCTATTCAGGAGATAGCTTGTAAGCCTTTGAGGGTAGGCTTCTTGGGAACATGCTTTATTTCCAGGTAACTGTTTGGCACAATTGCTAGAGATGTTCAGGGAATTTCTAGCAAAGTTCTTGACTGAGATTCTGGTTTGGAGAGCCATGGAGAAGACTGAGAAGCCCCAAGTGTCTTAAGTATTTTACATCTCCTATGCAGTTGGCCTTCCATATCTGTGGGTTTCACATATCCAGTAGAACAAATTCTAGATACACAGATAGAAAACATTCAGAAAAAAACTCCCCAAATAACAATATAACAATAAAAATGGTACAAATAATAAATACAGTATAACAACCACTATACTAATACTATATATTTACATAGTATTTGGTATGATAAATAATCTAGAGGTGAAGTAAAGTATATGGGAGGATATGCATAGCTTATATGCAAATACTACATCATTTTATATCATGGACTTGAGCCTCTCAAAATTTCAGTATCCATGGAGTCCTGGAACCAATTCCCCTCAGACACTGAGGTACAGCTATATGCATTCTCATGCCGCATAATGATTGGGAGTCTGCTCTGCAACAAGCACTGGGCTGTATATTGGGGATACAGGGATGACAAAGACAGGCATGGGCCCTGGACTTCATGAGCAGCAAACAAATCAACAAATAAATAACTGTGTAAGTTATAGGATTGAAAAGTGTATGAAAGAGAAGCATATCATAAAATCATGTTAGAGAGAGGACCAGACTGGGTAGTGGTTCAGGTAATTTATAACTTCCTTACAGTCACTGAGAAAAGTCTTAAGACTGAGAAGAGAGTTAATAGAAGAAAATATTCTCAACCATTCAGCCAGGGTAATGATGCCCAGAAACAACTTAAAACCTAAATAAGCAACAGTCCTCATTGTTTGGTGGCACAATTGGGAGGTGGTCAAGAGGTGTTCTTGGTAATTGCATTCCCATTGCTAACACAATGCCGGGTTGGTTCAGTAATGTTCATTGAGTGACTGAAATTAATAATTATTGGCAACCTGGTTTGATTTTACCATGCTTATGCAGCTCAGTGCAAGAAACACATTCTTGCCAAGTCCATGTTCATTTCTCTTCCAATGTCGTTTCTTAGTTTGGGGCCAATGGAAATTTCTAGTGGGTTCTGCCTTCTAAGGCAATGGGTTCCAGACTTTTCTGCAGGATAGAATCACCTAGGAAATCTTTAAAAAATTCAGAATTTTTAAAGCTCTGGTATCCTCCTTTTAGGAGACCAATTAAATCACAATCCTTGGTGGGAGAAGGGAATTTTTGAAGCTCCTCAGATGATTCCAACATGTAGACATGTTTGGGAACCACTGTGCCAGGGATCTTCAGCATTTGAGAGTGGAGAAAGAGAGAGAACAACTCACTGGTACATCAGTGATTTTCAGAAACCAGTTATAAGATGGTTGCTCTCTGACTCCTAACTGGCACCAGAACTAGCAGTCTCATATATACAACTATCTTAGGTCATTTTCGTTTCTTAGGTCATTTTCGTTTGGTCTTCCAGACAGCCTTGGTTTTCAACAATGTTTAATTTCCATTCTCTTTCTTTTATGTGCTGGCTTTAAATTTCTTGGTTGTGGCTTCATCCACCCTAAAAAGGATTGGCAGAAATAGGAATTCAACAAAACATCTATTGTTGAAAGAAATTAACGTATTATTGAATATTTAAGTAGAATCAGCTCTACAGATAAGGGAACATTCAGCTTCCTCTAACCCAAGAGGGACTCACCAAATTAATGATATCATGATGACGATGATGAAAAATAACAATTAGTTTATCTTTCTCACTTGAGTGTCAAAGCATCCAGTAATCAGCTAATATTGCAGACAGATGGACATTCAAATGATACCTTAGAACACTAACAGCAGCATCAATATTTTGGGCCAGATAATTTTTTGGCATGGAAAGATTGAAGGATGTTTAGTGGTATTGTAGTCCTTTACCCACTAGATGCTAGTAGCACCTGACACTCTATCTCATAACAATCAAATATGTTTGTGCACATTGCTGTATTTCCCCTGTGGGACAAAATCACCCTGGTTGAAAAACCAATGCTTTACATACACGTACAAACACACACAGAGTGGCATGTATTTTATGTCAAGTTCTATGTTACCACTTATATACCTTATTGAACTTAAGCATCACAAAGACTCTAGGAGGTAGATATTGTTAGCCTCCCTGAACAGATGGGAAATGTATGAATGGGTATCCCCAGTTAGCAAATGAATGAAGGTAACCAAAGCTTAGAGAGTTTATTTAGGTAAATTGTCCAAGGCCTCCTCCTTATTCAGTAGTAGAACTGAGATTCAAATCTAGGCCTGGTGGATTCCAAAAGCTTTGTTCTTGTCATTTTCCTTGTTATATTATGCAATGTTTTCCCTGATTTATTCCTAGCTTTTATTTCTGCTTCCTAACTACTGAGAATGCACATCAGCAAACCTTGTCGCCCTAAATGTTGTGATATGTCACCTGCCCAAAATTGAGCCTTGCAAACAGTTGAGTTTTACACACTTGCGTTTCCCTGAGCAGATTTTGCAAAGCAAAACTACCTTCTTTGCACACTCAAGGAATCCTGCTTGTTCCATTACAGCTGCCTTATCCCACACATTAGAGAGCAGCCCAGAAAGAGCTGATGGATAACGAGACCTTGATGAGTATGGAGATTGCAGCAGCTATTTACTTAACAGAATTAATTAACAATCAGTTCAAATTATCACACGTAGTCAGGCTGCATGTAATTTAAATTGCTTTTGCACAAAGTAATTCAGTAACAAAAAAAAGTTGGATAGAGGTTACTGGAATGTAAGAACATGCGGAGAATACAGTATACAGCCAAGTGGTATATGATTCTCTTTTTAATTTTGTGACAATTTTAAGTAAAGCATTTTGAATGTAAGTGGTGTGCTACATTAAGCAACCATTTGGAGCACACTAGGCTTGTACTGAGAGAATTTTATGGAGAAGTTAAACTGCCATTCATAAAGTTATTTTAATTCTAAGTCTCTGTTTATATTTTTATTTTTTTTTTCATTCCTCAGTGGGAACTATCTGTTGCTCATTAGAAAATCATCTGACATACACACATTTGAGAACCCAGTCTGTTCAACCCAGAATTGTGACATCTGAAATGAGTCACAATTTTTGGGTGAATGCTACTGACATCTTCCATCTTTTATAGATGATGCTAACAATAATTTCCTCAGATTCAGATTCCTTCCTTTATGGTATTATTTGACATTGCACCCAAAGTACTATAAAGTAGCATAAGCTCAAAGGAGAAACATATAAAAAGTGGTATCACATCTTCTGCAGTGAAAATTATTTTAGAGTTAAATAAGAAACTTGTGAAACTATATTTGGGGTGTTATACATAGTTCTTGACATTAGCTTAGAGAAAATAACTTCTACCAATAGTAAAAACAAACCAAAATTATGACAAAAATAGAAGCTTATCTGTATTTCTTAGAAAAAAATTAAAGTGAATCTTAAACATCAGTGAAATAGAAAATTCATGTTTGGGCTACAGGTAATTGAAAGAACAAATGGGCATAAACTTAAGAGCAAAGATAGTTAATTAAGTTTTCATTACTGTTGAGCAACTGTTATTAATTTAATTCAATTAACATTTATTGAGTATCCACATGCAATAGATGAATCAATGTGACAGGAGCTATTAATTTATTTACTCTAAGTTATTAAGGAAACATTTTAATGATTTTCATTTTTGCTCTCTAAATGTGACTGTAATTTTTGCATCCATTTTTTTTTCTCATTTGAGTCTTTATAGATAAAAGCATTCAAATGATGAATAAGTACTATTTCTTCTTCTTTAGGGCCTCTGATTCTATTCTTTTTTCTTCCATTCTTTTCCCATTTTCCTTTCTCTTCTTCTTCCTTTTCCATTTCCCTTTCCCTTCCCCTTTTCCTTTCTCCTCCACTCCCCTCCCCTTCCCTCCTCTCCCCTTCCTTTCCCTTCCCTTCCCTTTGTCATTTCCTTTCCTTTGTTCTTTCCTTCTTCCTCTTTGGTGTAATTCCTTATCTGACCTACCCGACTCTATTATCAGCTTCTGTTTTCCTCCAGCTCCTTCCGTGTATTTGTTTCTTAAGACTTTGTCCTTTTAGTTTCTTTCTTCCTACCCTATCCTTGAAGGCCATATTTGTCCATACTCACAACGTCATTGATTTCTTTGTGAAGTTGATCCTAAATCTTTATGCAGCCAATCACCCAGAGAGGCAGGCAATATTTGCCAAGCATAAATTACATGCCTGCTATCGCACTAACCGCTGCAGAATTCATAGAACAACAAATGGTTTCAGTCCTCAAGAAGCTCACAGTCATCACAAA